AAAAAAAAAAACACAGAAAATAACAAATGCTGGTCAGGAAGTGGAGAAAGGGGAATGCTTATACAACACTGGTGAGAAGGTAAAGTAATACAGACACTATGGAAAACAGTATGGAAGAATAGTAGGAAGCCGAAAATGGCAATACCAGCAAGCCAGCATATGATCCAGCAATCCATCTACTGGGTATTTATCCAAGAGAAAGGAAATCAGTATATTGAAGAGATAACCTAAACTTGCCTTACTTTAAACCTGTACCACTTTAGCTAGTCCTGGGTGAAGTCATTACTTTTATGAATGAAGTAGGATAAGGAAGATACTCTCTCATGGCATTTCGCAAGCTCTTTCATTAATTACAATAGAGGTGGTCTAATAAGAGGAAAAGAGCAAGCCTTGGATGAGTCACTTGGTAGGCCCAGTAAGCATCCCTTACTGCGCACCTCTATTTCTCTTCCTGTGATAGAAGTGACAATATTGATTACCACATAACTATTTTGGAAAGCACCTTGACATACATTCCTTTTTATTATCCTGGGTTATGCAAAGAAATGTCAGTACTAAGCCAGGGGGAAACATTTCAAGTCAATTACGGGCAATTTGTGTTTAGCATGTGGTTTTGCCAACTATAGTGTTTTTCATCATTTTTTTAATCCTGATTTAGGATTCTATGAGCATGCTTTTTTTATTTTTTAGAGACAGGGTCTCACTCTGTCCCCCTCGGTAGAGGGCTGTGACATCACAGCTCACAGCAACCTCCAGCTCTTGGGCTTAGGCAGTTCTTTTGCCTCAGCCTCCCAAGTAGCTGGGACTACAAGCACCCGCCACAGCGCCCAGCTATTTTTTTGTTGCAGTTGTCGTTGTTTTAGCAGGCCCAGGCTGGGTTCAGACCTGCTTGCCTCGGTGTATGTGGCCAGCACCCTAACTACTGACCTACCAGTTCCGTGCTGGTATACTGTAATCTTAAATTCCTGGGCTCAAGGGATCTCTTCCCTTGGACTCCCAAAGTCCCGAGCCAGGTTCATTCATCTTAAATATCCTAACTTTCTTATATTCACATAATTCCATTTTAAGAAATATATATGGGCTCGGCGCCTATAGCTCAACCGGCTAAGGCGCCAGCCACGTACACCTAAGGTGGCGGGTTCGAATCCCCAGCCCAGACCTGCCAAACAACAATGACGGCTGCAACCAAAAAGTAGCTGGGCGTTGTGGCAGGTGCCTGTGGTCCCAGCTACTTGGGAGGCTGAGGCAGGAGACTCGCTTGAGCCCAGGAGTTGGAGGTTGCTGTGAGCTGTAATGCCATGGCACTCTACCCAGGGGGACAGCTTGAGGCTCTGTCTCAAAAAAAAAAAAAAAAATAAAGAAATATATATGAAAATATTTCCAATTTCAAGTTTTAAAAATCAACTTTTAACACTTTGCTCCTTTAGCAATGTCTCTTTAGGGAGGCCACAGTTTGATTGCAAAAATGTAAGAAATCTGCTTTAAAATCTACGTATTCCTGGAATGAATGCAATAGTGATATATATGATCATATTTTCAAAGGGAAAATAAACACCTGTATCAGTAAATTCTACATCTGTATATGTTGCAGCTAGTACATTTGAATACATTCTCAATGATATATTTTCTACTTTTTTGATTTAAGACTTGATTTTCTACAATTTGAATTACTTCATAGGTCTTCCTATCTTTCAGATGCTTATATTCTGTATGTATGTTTTCCTAGCCTTATATCATAAATTCACTTTAAATTTTAGTTTAGATTTCAGTATCGGAACTTACTTTCTGGTGCCAGGAAAAGTGTAGCTTGAATCCTCCTTCAGGGAGTCAGGACGCTCCCACCTCATTTGCTGTGTCCGGAACACTCTCTTCAGAAGGCTTTCCTTAAGGAACCTGGAGATGATTCTCTCTCTTTGAACATTACTGAACACTTTGGCTTCTGGAAACCAGCTGATCTTGTCACATCCACCGTGGCAGGGGGGAAGGGGAAGATGTTCAGGAGACACAACAGCCCTCTTTGAAACAACAACAATAAAAAAGGAATTGCAATTTACCTAAAACTCATGAGTAAAAGAGCAGCCTAACAAGAAAAACAACCGAGAGTTCTGCAGCTGTTATGCTGCGGGATCAATTTAGTTAACAATACACTGCTAGCACCTTGGGCTGCTGGCCTGGCATAGCAACTCATCACAGCAAGAAAAGCATTCTGGCTTAGGAGAATTCTTTCTAATCTTTTCTTGGGAGAAAATAATCATATATTAAAAACACAGTTTTGAAAAGATAAATATATTGGTCACTGAAGAATAGAATTGGAAATAAGAGAAATATAAAACAAGATACAAAAAAACGGAAGTGTCAGTTTGAACAAAGAATTTTCATACCATCGGCTGAGACCTGGTTGGCTTAGAGATCAATATCTCACAGGTGGTTAGCCGAGGAGTATTTACCAGACTTCGCTCATGACTGTTAACTCCCATTCTAAACAGTGTTCTTTCCACTACACCATAATTAGAGAAAATGAATGAGATTGATTCCTAGAAGAAGCCTTCCTCATTGTTTAAAAAAAGCATCCATCTGATAGTTTATTTAAAAATAAAATCTAATAATTATGATTTCTACCAAGGTCAAGAAGCTTCAGATAACTATAAATGTTTCATCTCTTGCTGTTTTGAGCAACGATTAAGAACATTTGGGTCAATTTACATGGAGTGTAAAGAATCGCATTTTAATAGATTACATCCTGGATGTATTGAATGTCTTTCTTATTTATATAAATGAGTGTTTAGAGGAATCACTCAACCTTACTTGGAAAAAAGACAGGAGATATGTCTTCCAGCTGCCAGAATATTCTACCCCACGATCTCCACCAATTCCTTTCTTTCTCCTAAAATACCCATAAAATTGTGTGAAGCATAATATATTCAAGTAGTTCTTATTAGTTCTGTAACATATTTTAAATATATTTACATTCAAAGTATACTTTTCTAGATTTTTTTTTAAGTTTTCCTTTTTAAATTTGCAAGTGGAAAATTAAGAAATAAAATTTTACTCCGCCTTCTCTGGACACTAACGTATCATATAGTATAATTGTGATTTTTTTTTTTATAGTCTTGGCCAAAGGTTTTTTATGTTTGGTAAACAGCTGGCCAACACTACCAGCTTTAGCCATCTCATACTTGGCTCCCCTGCCTTCCAAGTTTCTCACCATTCTGCAGCATGGGTCCTCAGCTGGTTTATAAAGAATAATTATGGGGAACCTGGGATGGTAGAACAGGCTGAAATTAAGGAGAAGCTATAAAAAGAAAAGCCTAGTATTTGCATTTTTGTCTCAGATCTTGGCAGCTTCTATCTTGCTCATGGCTGTGCTATGAAGTATGGAGGTTTAAGGTTATTAACTACATCTGTTGTCCTCTGGTCTTTGGTCTATAAAGAAGAATGGCTTCTGACCAGTAAAGCTAGAGTTCAGCATTTTTGTTTATTTACTTGGTTTCCTCAGTGTTAGTTTGGATAAGAGAATAAGAAGCAGTCTGGCTTCTCACCTGTGTTAATCTGGACATTTCCTCAATTTGGGGTGATGAAGCTCTTTCCTCAGTTCTGCCAAGGACTGTGCTGATGTTACCACTGTCTCTAGGGTCCTGGTAGGTCTGTAGAGCCTTAATTATGTACACACAAGTTGCAGGCATCTACTCAGTGCCAGATGGGAAAATAACACTGGATGTGTGCACACCCGGTTTCCCCTCTTCCTTTTAGGAAAGCTCTCTTTTTTTCCCTTTAGGAAAGCCCTCTTTCTTCCATGTCCAGATAGGAAACTGGAGTTTCTGCCAGAAATCCGTGAAAGACTTGGCAGGATATTTCCGATGGGCTGGATTTCTCTGCTTGGGGGATGCAGGATGAGCACTCAGGGTTCCAAGTCACTAGCAGGTCATTGTGACCCTCAGAATGCTAAGCAGTCAGAGGCTGGGATGTTCCACGTTATCTTCTTGGAGATGGGGGAAAGCTTGGAGGAAGCGTGACTACAAGGCACTCCACTTCACATGTTCTTGATTTGGCCTCTGTAACTCAGTAGGCATCATGGGAACAGCTGGCAACAATTATAGTGTGACAGAATTTCCGCTCCTTAACAGATTCTGGAAGCCAAAAAACGATGCCCCTTCTGATGACTCGGATCACACCTTTGAGATTCTAGCAAACCTTCACAAGCTGCTTCCAAATAATCTGATGGAGACACTTCATTCCTACAAGAGTGAAGAGGACCAAAAAATATGTATGTGGGTAGAAGTTGGGTATGGGCTCATTTTAGCAAGCATATACTTTATGTCCATACAAACTGCCATGAGTAAGAACTTACTCTTAAGATTGTAAGTGTGATTAGTCCTTGAGACCAGTTTTACTCTAGAATTTACCCATGCACTGACTTAACCATTGCTTCTTCTTGTTCCTTTTATTTAAATATCCTTTTATGAGCCAACAAAAGTCTGTTCCTCTCCTTTAGGCAGATGGAAGAGGGTACTGAGTGGAAAACGCCACTACATTTGCAATTCAAGCTTTAGATTTGATTTTAAGATTAGGAAGAGAACTTTCAAGTTGAAGGTCAGGTTTTGAACTTTATTCCTTTGCTCCAGTTCCTACTATTCCTTCTTCCTATTGCCATGACTGTACTATCCCAGGATGTTTTATTCCAGATACTTTATTTCTCCCTGAGGAATGTAATTGACCTGTACTTTTTGTTATTTAGAGTGGCAGTTAGGGTAGTTGACAATTAGACCAATTTGTAGAATTGTGTGGAACCTGCCTCTTGAATTGTTCATGGTTACTCAGAAAACAAAGGTAGATGGCAGCACCTAATGCCCATGAGTTTAGAAAACAAAACAGCAGCTGCCACAGTGATTAAGACAAAATCCAGGGCATGAAGGCAGGTAATGGTGTGATGGTTTTAAATCACTCTGGCAAATTTGGCTATTTGCATCTCTAACTCCTGAATCCAGAGTATTGTGAATCAATCCTAATATCCAGATTACATTACAGATTACAGAAAGAGTACTTACAAATCATTAAGAAAAAGATAAACAACCTAGTGGAGTAGATAAATGCATGAACGGGCAATTCACAGCATTTAATTACACATCATCAGTAAGCATGAAAGATGGTCAAACACTCTGGCCATCAAGGAAGTAAAAGGTAAATCAAGGAGATATTTTTAGACCATCATGCTGGTCAAATTTAAAATGAGCCATAATAAAGAACATGTGGGGAGAATTAATGCCCTCACACTATTGCTAGTGCCTTAATTAATTCAGGTTTTTTGAAAGATAATTTGAAAGTCTTTGTCAAAATTTCATATATATGTTACTAGCTTATTAGAGGTGAACTTGGCAGAGAGTAAGCAGAAAATAATTTTCTTCTTTCTGTAATTCCTCCTTTTGACCCATTCTGT